TTTTGAAGAGTAGCCAAGCCTGAAAACCTAATTTCAAGGTAGACTCTCAATTGTAGCTGAACAACCCTTTATATATTCCTACTTGATAAGTGGAAAAGAAACAGCTTCCCCCCAACCTGGGCCTAGCCTATATGCATGTGGTTTGTGTTCAGCAGTTACACAATTCCCTGAAATAATTATGTGCTGGGGCCTATCAAGCATTTTGCTAGTATAAAAATGAATAATGTTGGATGCGAATCACTCCGTAGAATATATCACAGTCTTTAAATGTGCATCAGCATAACCCTTTATATGAAACGGAGAGGATGTGCTTGCTTCTCTGATGCTGCTCATGCAGTTGCCAAGGTACGAACAGAAAGACAGTGTTGGGCTAGTTGCTGATAAATCTCTTTGGTCAACAATGGAATTTGGACTAGGGGGTAGAATCCTGCCTGTTTGGATTGGCACGGTTCTACTTGAGAGGGTGGGAAACTAGCCTGAGTGCAGCAATGGGAATAACAAATCACAGTGCAAAACACAACCACCCCTGTGCTTGAAGCTATGTGCAAACTGCAATTCCACACAAGTTCGGAGAAGGAATTGTGAGAGTGGCATTGGGCATTGAATTCTGCATTCCTGAAAATCTTTGCTTTAAAATAATGTTTAGCCTTCACGGGTGTGAAGATATGCTTGAAAGCTCATGCAAAGGCTGAAGAAACCTTAGCCACAGGGATTGCTAAGTAAGATTTGTTCAAGGAAGAGGTGGGGCTTAAGACTTGCATATCTTTTTGGCCCTTTCCATGACTAATAGAAGCAGAATGAATAATTCAGAAGAAATTATGCAACTGTACCTAATTTGTATAATTAAAAAAGGCTCCAGAACTTGCCTTTTCTTGCTGCATCATTTTAATTTATTTTGTGTTTTTTATTTTAAATCTCTATAAATTCTGTATAAATAAATGCAAGACAGCTTAGAAAAAAGAAATGTCTTTAACACACATCACTTGAGAAGGGGAAATCAACAAAAAAGAAAAAGAAAACATTGGGTTTTTTTGTATGCTGCTTTTCCACGGTAAACCAAGCAGTACATAGTGTTGTACACTGCATCTGTTTTGCCAGGTGATCTGTTTAAACTGCCTGGTGGCAATTTTATCCATTAAAATAAATATATTAAAAAGTGAAGGTGGCAATTTGATCTATTAAAATAAAATTCCAAAATCCGTAGTTAGATGATACCTCTTACTGGGACCAACCAAAATGTCACATTTGCAAGCTTTCAAGTTATCCAGAATTCATCAGGTAAGAGGTTCTAAAAGGTAGGAACTGGAGGGAAGTGCAAAACTGTTTGTTGTAGCCATACAGTCAGCATTTAGATTGCCCCATTTTCAAAAAGAGGGTGCAGCTATTGCTTCTTTATCCTTGCTTTGTAACCTTATATGTGTAACACCTAGCACAAACTTATTCAGTCTGCAACTTCCACCTTGGAATGAAGTCTAAAAACCAGCCTTATTTGCGTAACATCTTTCCTGATTAAGTGTTCTGGGTGGCTCAAGCATTTGCATATTTTGGTTGCTCAACAATGGATTTTGGAGTTCCTCTATAGATAGAAATCAGTTCACATTAAGATCCGATCACTAGGCAATCAGCAAGCCCCTAGCTGTTGACAGGATCAGGTACAAGTGTAAGCCCTTCTGCAAACGAAAGGAGAAGCAGAAGCAGTCTGACAAGTCTTCATGTGAGAGAATTGGTCTCAGGCATTCCAGAGGGGCACCTACCAGGTATGAGGCCTTTGCCACTTGAAAGGTTAAGGCGGCAACCTTGCACAACCACTAGCCTTATTGAACATTGTGCTACCTACTTCAGAATAATCACCTACCTAATAGCTGACATAAGATTTAGCTTCCCACCTCACAAAAGGAGAGAGGGGAAATGTTATTAGGAAGTAGCATCTGCTACAGGGCCGGCCCACCCATAAGGCAAAGTGAGGGGATCGCTTCAGGCGGCAGGATCCACAGGGGCAGCAGATCCTGATCTTCCTTGTTCTTGATTTTCACTCACCCCTTCTCTGGTGTGGGAGGCACCATTTTGCAGCTTGCTTCAGGTGCCAAAATGTTTTGGGCTGCCCTGTTCTGCCGTTATTGCGTAAATATAAACAAGGTCAGGGTGACAAATCAAATCAGGATGGTTGCAACCTGCCATCTGGAAAAGAAGTGGCAAAGACTCAACAGTGTGCATGGACACCTAAGAGAGAAGGGACCACTGGCATCCGTTCAGAACTAGCTGCTCTCAGTCTCTATTCAGCCCAACTCCAACAGGACCGAATCTCCATATAAATTCCGACCCAGCAGCTTGACATGTCATGCTCTGTCTCCCCATGAGAGCTATTTCCACAATAAATGCGCTAGTTTCTAAGGCGCCTTAGGATTCCTTGTAGCTTCTGCCGCAGCAGAATAATGACTGGAATGTGGTTGCTTTAAAACTGCCTTTTTATCAGTTCTCAGACTGTATTTAAGCTCCAGAACCAACATGGCTATAACAGAAAAACATTAAGCACCCTTCATTCACTGCATCACCAATTAATTCAAAGCTTATCGGTGATCTAATGCTTACTTAAAGTAGCAGCAGCTTTATTGTCTGTAGCGACTTGAGCAACCACAATTTATTTTAAAGTCAACAGACGCTCTGCCTCCACTCATGTGCATATGGTACCTGCAAGAGAGATGGGAAACCACTAGCTCCAAGGGAGCAGGGCCTGCTGGCTAGTCCCAACAATGCATACTGAGCACCTGTCTTTGAAAACAACAAAACAAGCCTAAGTAAACATTTTTGCTTCTGAGCCAAAGATAGATAGTAATATTGTTTAGTCCAGTGTTTTTCAACCACTGTTCCGCGGCACACTAGTGTGCCGCGAGATGTTGCCTGGTGTGCCGTGGGAAAAATTGAAAAATTCGAAAGATTTAAAAATAAAGTATTTTATAATTTTTCATATTTCTGTTTACTTACTATTTCATAATAAAGTAATTATAAATACTTTCTTTGTGTTTATTTGATTCCTATTCAAGAGAATTACTTTATTATAGTCAATATAGGCACAGAGTTAAATTTTTTAACATTTTCTAATGGTGGTGTGCCTCGTGATTTTTTTCACGAAACAAGTGTGCCTTTGCCCAAAAAAGGTTGAAAAACACTGGTTTAGTCGTTTAGTCATGTCCGACTCTTCGTGACCCCATGGACCAGAGACCGCCAGGCACTTCTGTCTTCCACTGCCTCTTGCAGTTTGGTCAAACTCATGCTGGTAGCTTCGAGAACACTGTCCCACCATCTTGTCCTCTGTCGTCCCCTTCTCCTTGTACCTTCCATCTTTCCCAACATCAGGGTCTTTTCCAGGGAGTCTTCTCTTCTCATGAGGTGGCCAAAGTATTGGAGCCTCAGCTTCACGATCTGTCCTTCCAGTGAGCACTCAGGGCTGATTTCCTTCAGAATGGGGAGGTTTGATCTTCTTGCAGTCCATGGGACTCTCAAAAGTCTCCTCCAGCACCAAGCATATATGCTTGTTTTTGTTTTAACGGGGCTTGGCCTGGGCTTCCTATGGAATGTTTTCTGGTGCTGTATACTTCCCCTCACGCTGCAAGTTTAGCCCTGAAACATCTTACAAACAAAAAGAGATCAGGCCAATGGCCCATCTAGTCCAGCATCCTGTTCTTACAGTGGCCGACCAGATGCCTGTGGGAAACCCTTCAGCAAGACGTGAGCACAAGGCCCTTCTCTCTTACTGTAGTTTCCAGCATTGCTGCCTCCAACCGCGGAAGTATAGAATCAGAGAGTTGGAAGGGACCCCAAGGGTCATCTATTCCAACCCCCTGCAATGCAGGAATATGCAGCTGTCCCGTACGGGGATTGACCCTGCAACCTTGGCGTTATCAGCACCACACTCTATAACCAACTGAGCGGGATAGCCCTCTCCGCCATGAATTGTGATATTTTGTTTCTGTCCTTAACCTTATGCCCCATATACACTTTGCACATACCAGAGGAATGAATGATCAGTTTATTGCACAAAATTGAATTTATTTATATCTTCCCTTTTCCTGCTAGGAGATCAACAGAATACTGTGCAGGGCGGACTTGTTTCCATTTGTAATTATGGCATCTATTTTTGTATTCCAAACCGCCCCGTGATCTTTGGATGAAAGGTGAGGCAGAAATTCAATAAAGAGGAACAGCAAATTTGTCCAATGCTCTCTTAAAGCCATCCAAGTCGGTGGCCATCCCTGTCTACTGTGGGAGGGAGTTCCATAGTTTAACTCTGCTTATCTGTCCTGAATCTTCCAATATTCAGCCTCGCTGGATGTCCATGACTTCCAGTTTTATGGAAGAGAAGTTTCTGTCGTTCAACCTCTCCGCAAGCTGTGCATAATGCCATGCGCATAAAAAACATTGAAAAGCATTGGAAGTACTCAACTGGGGTTCTGTTCCCCGCCCCCCAAAATGACCTGTTTTTGGTGGTGTGTGTGTGTGTGTGTGTGTGTGTACATATACATATGTATGAATACATGCATGCATACATACATGCATACATACCCATGATTTCCCCCCAAAAGCTCAACATCTTTGGCTGCCCCCCCCCCCAATGATGCCATGCATTTCTATCATGGCAATATTTTAGTACCTGTTTTCTGCTTCTATGTGGCGCGCTTAGGAGTCCTTAAAGCGGTCTGGGTACCACCGCCCTCGGGGCAAAATAAATAAATAAATGGGGGGGAAAACCTTCCCACCAATAGCCGGCCTCCCCCTGCGAAGAAGCTTCTCCCTGAGGCGTGGCTGCCCCTGGCCATGGAGGCTCCATTCTGCTGATATTCCCTGCAGGGCAGCCCCGAGGACGAGGCGAGGGGACGGGGCCGAGGCCGGTGAGGCGGGGCTGGAGAGGCGGCGCTGGAGAGGCCCGGCGGCCGCGGAGGGGAGGAGCCGCCGCCGCCGCCGCCACAGGAGGCGCTGAGGCGGAGGCGGGAGTTTGCGCGGTGAGGCGGCGGCCGAGGGGACCCGGCCGGGAGGCGCGGAGAGCGCGAGGCCTGCGCGGCCCGCCCAAGCCGCCCGCCCCCCTCCGGCTTCTGGAGAGGCCGCCGCCTGGGACGCTGGGCTTGGGCTACTGCTAGGCCGCGCCTGGCTTTGCTCCAGGGGTCCCGGTGAGGACGAGCGGCGGCCATGGCGGCGGCGGAGACCAAGATCATCTACCACCTGGACGACCAGGAGACGCCGTACCTGGTGAAGCTGCCCATCCCGGCCGAGCGGGTGACGCTGGGCGACTTCAAGGCGCTGCTCAACCGGCCCAACTACAAGTTCTACTTCAAGTCTATGGACGATGATTTCGGGTGAGACGGAGGCCCCGCTTCCCTCCCTCCCTCCCTCCCTCCTTTATCTTCTCTCCCCCCCCCTTTCAAAATCAACGCCTCGCCACGGACACGTCTGCAGCAGCAGCAGCAGCGGCGGCGGCCAAAGCCCCCGGGATCCTGCCGCAATGAATGGCCCCCTTGGCCCGCCCTGTGTTGCTGACCTCCTCTCCCTCTTTCCCTCTCCTCCTCGCGAGTAGTGAGGGGCGAGCACAGCCTGGCTCATCTCTAGTGGGACCCCCAACAGGCAGGCAAGAGCTTCTCCTTTCATAGGAGGGGATCCCATCCCCCGGGGTCGTGTACTGCAACCCCCCCCCCCCACAATACAGGGATCTCAACACAAGCATCCATGGCAGATGGCCACCCGTGTTTTGCTTAGAAACCTCCAAGGAAGGGGGAGCCCACCAGCTCCCAAGGTTGTCCCCTTCTCTTCCCAGGCTGAAAAATTCTCAAGCCTTTGCAGAAGAGCCGAGGGGAAGGGGAAAGAAGGGGCTTGGGGAGACATAAACCCACCTGAGCAAAACCCCAAAGAGGTTAAACGTGGAGTGAACCTTAAATGCTCTTCTCTGCTAGGAAGATCTTCCAGTGGCCAACCAGTGCCAGAATCGAGGTCTGTGTCTCTTTCTGGCTGCCTCTCACACACAATTCTCCCCAGTGCTCTTCAGGAGAATCCCCATGTCATGTTGGGGGTTCTTCGCATTGGGGATGGAGGACTTGTGGCCCTCCAGATGTTGTTGGAACCCCCCCCCCAATCACACCCAGCTAACATAGGCTGGGAGATGGGTTCCAGCATTCCCTAATTCCCCCAGACCTCCCTTGATCTTCCCTCGAATGCATTAGAGCAAGGCACTTCGTAAGTACCCACTCCTGATAAATTTCATTCTTCCTTGAGGAAGGAGATCTGTTGTTTGTGGGAACGGAGGAGTCTTCCAGCACCAGCCTTACTGCCTGCACGCAGCCCAAGCGAGGAGAGAATAGGGCCGCTGGTGACTTGAGTGCGGTTGTAAGAGATGTGCCCCAAGAATCCCTTGCCGGGTCAAGAGGATGGGCTCAATAGTTGCCCTTTCTTTCCCCAGCATTCTCTACAGTGAGTGCACTTCTTAGCTTGTGCAGTGCAGACCCCTGAAAGGCCCTTTGTATGCAGTTACTATCTAAAACTGTTCAGAAGAAGCAGCTACTGTAGAGTCCTGCTCTTTCACCCTGCAGCGCTCCCCAACACCCAAATCTTGGGTGTGTTGGGGACACTGACATCCCAAGGGAAATTAACCATGGTGTCTCTCCTGTCACTGTGCCCCCCCCCTGTTTTGATGCTTCCTTTTGCAGGACAAGGTGGTGTCTCTGAGTAAAATGCAGGAGAGGTTGTTTTCTTTTGGGCTGGCTTAGCTTCCCAAAACCTATTCCTTGTAAAACCCTGCCCTCTGCTCTGATTGTGTTCTGCTCTGGTTTGTGAGCCTCTCCCACAATCCTCTGAAGGCCGTGTAATTTTCCAGACTCTGATTGTATGTCCTAAGACACAAAGAAATTCCACTTTAAGGAATTGGCTATGTACGGCTGCTGCTCCTTTCCTCCTCCTTATATTTCTGTGACACTCTCTTTCCTTCTTCCTAGGATCTTTCTGTCTCTTGCAAATACATACACACACACTTCACACCTTGCTGTCTTTAACATCCTATCTCTGTGAACCTTTCCTGGTTTCCTGCTGCTCCTAGGGCTCCAGTAGCATTCACAAGATTGAAGTGTTCCTTTGGTATTTGCTTGTGAGAACTGGACAGCAAGTTTTGTTAGAGCTTCGTAGTCCTACAAAGACATTCTGCTTGTGGCCACCTACCCTGGGGTTGTATCCTTCTCAGAGCTCTTGTTATAAAAGCTGATCTACAAGTGCAGCACAAGTACATGGACCAGCCTTTTTGGTACTGTAGCAATTCACAATAGAAATCGGTATTTGTGTGCATGCTCCCCCATACACAAAACATTTCAGCAAGAAAGCTAAGGTAGAATCTCTCTTTCCATGGGTAGGAAGCATTTAATGTGTGGCACATTTGATTCTGTGACTTTCCCCAACTGCATTCTGATATAGTACAGTCCCATAGCTCTCCCCTTCCCAGTCCTCCTGAATTTGCAGATGACTGCAAAGGCTGGTTTTGACCTAACAATGCCTGTTTGGCTCAGAAGCCTGCACAAAGCTTGTGGAAAATGTAGGGAGTAAATCAATAGGAGGCATTTCCCCCCATATAAAGCACAGGCCATGATTTGCTGGCTTTCCTGGCATATGAAAAGTTCCAGGGATGTTGAGTTTTTTTGGCTCACATATTTGCTGGCTCTGTGTTTGCCATTCTTGATTTCAGTATATTGTATCTTGGTCCCTAAGCCCTAATATTTTAGCTGAGTCTGCTGTGTGTTGCTAAACAGCTGTTGCCTCCCAGGCAGAGAGGGCTTGCCCTTTCCTTGGTGGAGGAAATGCTGTGGATATAATGTTTATAAACCAGCACATTAGGATCTTTGAAATCTTACACTGGAAAATAATTGTTGCAGGTCTGTTGCAATCTTGCCATATGGGCTGAAATTGTATAGTGGTAAATGAAACATATGGGAAAAGTCAGGCTATTCATATCCAGCACTATGGTAGGATAGTGACTAGTGGATCAGAACTTGACCATGGAGACTTGCGTTTGAAGCTTTGCTTGGCCAGTATCAATATCTCAGTTTAAGCTGCTTTATAGGGTTTTTGTGAGGATAAAATAAGAATACTCCGCACCCCCCCTCTAAGTTCTCAGAGGATTGGTGGGATAAAAAATGTGACACAATGATAAAATACTTGATTTGGTGACAAAGATTCAAATTATTTATGCAGAAGAAACTCTTTAAATAAATAGGGTGAACACCACAGTGCCTGTCCACCAGTCAAATGGACATCACTGGCCAAAATAGATTCTGCCTGCAACCCCACTTGATTTTTTCCCCAGAGGGTTGAAGGTGGTAGGGAGGAGACATTGGATGGGAAGGTCATCTCACACAAGCAATGGTTGTCGGCAATGTTAGAAACTAAGATGTGGAAGCTAGGAACTAAATGGCTCATTAAACCTAGGTTATGGGTGCCACAGCAGAGTGTCTAGGCGGTTTTTATAACAAGAATGCAAAGCTGCAAATGAATGAACTGCAGCTACAATCTTATGTTCATTTTTCACATGGTCTAGTTTTCATCTTGGTATGAGCTTAAGAAGTGTGCATGCACACGGAAGTTCATACCAAGAAAAAACTTAGTTGGTCTCTAAGGTGCTACTGGACAATTTATTTATTTATTTTTATATATTTCTACTGCGTCAGACCAACACGACTACCTACCTGAATCTTAGTTTTCACCTGAAGACTGAAAAAACAACAACCCATACTTCCCCTGCCTTCCCTCCCTAATATTCTTATGAGGGCTCCTTCTCCAGTCTTAAGAGTGGCTGGAAGTGGGGAGGCAGAAAAAGGTCTTTCTTTCCAGCAGTGGCAGTTTTAATCTGAAATCTTAGGCGCCATACTGCACCCAGAGCTCAGGAACTGCTCGCATTAATGAAATTCCCTGTCGCAAAACGCACCTAGAACAATGGGAGTTAAGAACACTGGTTTTCGGCAAGAGTATGTAAAGGTGTACATCAGCTCAGTTTGTGTATTGCACGTTTGCAAAACGTCTGCTTTTTTTTAATTTTTAGATAAACAGTGTGGATAGCATGTAAAGCCAGGCCTTAGATCTGCATTTAAATACTACCTTTGCAAGGATACATTGTGAGTAAAAGAGGGGAAAAGGGCTTCTAGCAAAATATTACTCAGTGGCCTGGTTTGCATGTTACACTAAAGTTTAAACATACTATGGTTAAATGCGTCCATGTTGCTCAAAAGTTCCTAGGGTGCTCCTTTCCTGTTCCTGCTGTTGCTATGCCAGAGACAAGAAAGCTGGAGTCTGGCTTTTCACGTTATCTGAACCTGGGCTCCTCAAAACAAACCGCAATCAGGAACCAGGGTTTACTCTTGGCTTAGTGCTAGAGAAGCCAACCATGGGCCTGAGTTGGACAAAACACAGCGGAGACTCTGGCTTTTGTTATCTGCAGCACGGCAAAAGCAGGAGTTGGGGAAGTACTTTGTGGGAAAATCTTGAGCACTGTTTACGGACACACTGCTCAATCATAGCTTGCTTTAAGCTATGAGTTAATGCAGGGGTGGGACACCTCTGGACCTCCAGAGGTTGTTGGATTATGGCTCCCATCATCCCTGACCATAGGTCATACTGGCTGGGACTGATGGGAGTTGAAGTTCCACAACACCTGGCAGGCTACAAGTTTCTACCCTTGGCTAACAGGATGTGTGGACAGGGCCAGTTTTCTTTAATATGCAAAAAGGAGATAGGATGTTTAAGAGAAAATGAAAACAGGACTAGGAGATAAATAAGGACATTTATATCTATATAGTCAAGTCAAGTGACCTTTATTGCAATCACATAAGAACATTCAGAATACATTCAGAATAGATAGGCCAGTGCGATCTCGTTGCCACCCCAACGGCACAGTCACCCGCCAAAGGGAAGAAGAGGCGAGCAATCCGCCTCATCTCTGTGGGTTTCCAGCAGGGGCAGGATCCTGTAGCATACTTTGGCGACAAAAAATCAGATAGAGGAACTTAGCTACTGTCTTGGTGAGGTCCTGGTCTCTCCCCTGTAATAAGAAGTGCATGACCTCAGTCTCTGGTTTCCATATTGGAATACATAGATGGTCTAGAAACGTGTTGGCAGAGATCATCATACATTTTGCATTTAAGGGCCATGTGAATATCTATATAGTAATGGAACAAAAGATTCCTCAAAATAACTTGAGAAGTGCATTTCTATATAAGCGTACTTAGAATTAAGTCCTGTTGAGTTCAGTGGGGCTTCCTACTGAACTCAACAGGGCCTAGGATTGCAGCTGAAAGTGGATTACACAGCTCCCAAATCCTTTGCCAGTGTA